CAGCCTTCTTCCACAGCTCCAGAAACCTCAGCTGGAGTAGTGGAAGCAGCCGAACCATCAGAACCAAACACAGCAAAAGCAGGTGTTGCACAAGCAGAAGCAAAAACAGAAGCAACAGCATCTTCAGTGAAAACACACATGGCCTCGGATGCAGCAGCAGCAGCACCTTCAGACACAACACCACCACATGAGCGGCCACAAGAAACTCAAGCGCAGCAACAACCAGAACAACAACACACATGTTCAGCTGATGCGCAAGCAGCGGCTCCAGCAGCAGCAGTAGCAGTGGAGACAACCAACGCACACCTCGCAGCATCTTCAACTGAGGTTGAAGCCAAAGCACAGCCGGGTGAACAGCCACAAGAGTCTTCTCCAGAAACAACTGGACTGGCGGAACCGGCACCTCCAGACACAACGGCTTCACTTCGCACTGGAGCTGGAGTGGTGGAACTAGCCGAACATCCAACAGCTACCTCTCCGCAAACAACGGCTTCAACAGCTTCCCTTCCTACTGGACACACTGCTGCCACCATTCCTGCAGTTCCAGATGGGCAGAATCCGAACACAGCAGCTGGAGCAGCACCACCAAACCCTGCGCCACCAGCGCCAGAACCGCAACCACAGGTTCAAGTTCAAACTGACCGTCACGGTGACAGTGAAATCCCACTTGAACCTTGGCATGTGAGGAAGGCCAGGTTTTTCAATACTAGCACATACCACCGTCCCGAGAACCAGGAGAAGCAACAGCAGATGCATGCACAAGCACTCGCCAAAGCTGCCGACATGGCAAAAAGCCAGCGCAAAGCCAATGCAGCTGCCGCAGCAGCAGAAGATCTGGCCAAGCAACACAAAAAGGCCAGTTGAAATTTGAAAGTCTGGACACAAACTCAAACAACAATACATGTTATGTTTGGTTTATCCCCGCCCAGCTGTTTGCTTTCTTGCTTAGTCACTGACTTATTGAACTTGATCATCTACACTATCTACAGGGCCGGAAGTGTTTGAAAAGTGTGGGTTCATTTTCATTTTGCTGTGCCACCGTTGCAGGCCACAGCAAAAGAGAAGAAGCAGCCTCCGAAGTCTTTCGCACCGGAGACCAAAACTCCAGCATCCCCTTGTCCAAGTCATGTCAGCGGGATCTCCGATTTGGACCTTGAAGATGCTCTTGCAGTGATGGTTCGCAAGGACTTAGAACTTAGTTTGAGCGTTTGAATTTTAAAGCTAGACCAAACATTGACCAGATCGAGGACGGAGTACGTGAAATGATACACAAACAACTTTTGTGTTACTTGTTTTTCTGTTGGCCCAAATCAATTGGGCTCCTGATTATGTTTGATGCCCGATGGTGAAGGAGGAACGTATGATGGATGCACTTGAACGAGCAAATCACGAACACACCATGAACAAGCGGCGCCGCCAGAATGAGGGAGAGTCTAGCAACGCCCAGGGGAATGGTTGTGTTCGTGGTACTAGTGCAGAGGGCTCTGACCATAGTGCGGGGCACAAGACCCCCGCAAACGGTGTAGCAAAGGCCAAGTCAAAGTCTAGGGCCGCAAACTTTTCGAAAGCGAAGGCCCAGCCCAAGCCAAAGGCCCAGGCTGAGGCTAAAGCTAAATCTACTGCAACTCCTAAGGGAAAGAGTAGAGCAAAGAAGTAGTTAGGCTCCCATATGTTCCTGATTTCCCGCTACTTGCTACTACTTAATACTACTTAACTTGTAAAGAACTGCACATATAATTTAAAGTGTTTATGCTACTTCAGCACTTTGCCACTGCCACTAATCAGAATCGGAAAAAAGGAATTACTTGTGGGGGCACAGCTTTACAGTAACCAGCAAAGACTCAGCAATGACGCTGACGCTGGATGCTGCACCGATCCAGCAGAGACGCACAAGTGAAAACAGTTTTCTGTGGCTGTGACTGTTTGCGCATCCGGTTTACAATGACCCCATGACTAACTACATGTACCATTTTTATTAACATACTGTAGGTACTTGGGTTGAGTTGATTTCTTTCTATGTTCTTGGGTTGGGTTGGGTCCGTATTGCTCTTCTGTCTGATAGTTAAATAAGATCAGCAAGGGCAGTGTGAGTGCACTCAGGTATATTGCGGTATGCATGTTCTGTCACTGTCTTTCTTGAAAAAATACAGCTACGCATTCTTTTGTTTTTGTTTTTTTTTCGGTGTTTTTTTTTCTGAACATATTTTGTCATCATCAAAATGCAAATTAAAAGTCTCAGCGGAAAGAGTAAACTGATGTGGCCTTGCCGGCCCAAATTTCATGCGCCTTGGTAAATGGCCTACTTCAGCCATGGTGCCACATATGTTGTGCTTAATTCTTGACTGCCCCCTGGAGTGACACTCATGCCTGCAGGGTCTTCAAGAGCTGCTCCGGGTACAGTCAATCGACAGAGCCAAGGCTTATATAACCCCCCGTTGGAATTTCAACGTTGATTAACGACTCAGTACAAGCCAACAGCCAAGGACTGAATTGCCGCAAGTACCACTCCTTCCATACAGAGGATTGGATTGGGCGACTTAAGCAGTGCTGCGCAGTATCGCAAAAGCAAGGACTGGAGCATATTGCGCTCATGCGTTGGTTCACTGGGCCCCCTGGCTGAGAAGTGCAAAATAGTCTTTTGAACCCAAAGGTTTCCCGAAGCTTCCCCGACATGTTGTTAGGGCTGCACATGTGATATCTGAGGCTGACAAACAAGCTCGCTTCCGCGGAGTTCAGCTGAGTTTCCCCACGGATGGTGTGGAAAATGCAGCGCTGTTGTGCGAGATGCAGCGGATTGAGGCGATGGGTGGTTGGAATGGAGGTTCAGGTATCCAACTTAGCCAATTTGTTAGATTTTGAATGATTTTGATATTCCCAACTTTGTCTCACAATGGACTTGGCTATGGACCCCTGGTGACAACGGTCCGGGAGCCCAGGTCCTTTCTCAGACAGGACTGGGGATCCACAGGGAGGTAATCCAGCGCTCTTCTAGCTACCCGAAGGTGAATGTGAGTGGGAAGGATCCGTTTGGCCAAAATGGGGGTCGGCGGCACCAGGGCGGAGCCCTTACTATTACATCGGCTGGATGGCCATAGGGATTTAGTTCATGAGAATGTGCTACAAATGATGTATATGGACATGCGTTGAGGTCACCTTTGTTATTGAGACAAGCCATCTGGTGCATGATGGTGCATGTACTTTTTTTACTCAAAGTAGGTCTGCAGGATCTTCTCCACACATAGCGCTGTCCCATCACTCTCCTCCAGTCTCCGAGACATTTCTTGGGCTTTCGCCATCATCTCGACAGATTCCAGTGCAAATCTGACAGCCTCAAGAACTGCACCATGGGAGGATGGCACGTTCCTGAAGGGGATGGAGGGTGGTGCCACCCCCAGCTTGGCTAACTGATTGGCATTTGAAAACTGATCCATAAGCACTGGAAGGCAAACGCTTGGGACTCCCGAACGTAGTGCTGCTGCACAGGTTCCCACCCCAGCATGATGTAGGATGACCTTGCACTTCGGGAAGAGGAGATCATGCGGACAGGATTTCACCACCAAAATCTCCTCCAACTCTGAGTTCGTAACACCTGACCAGCCTGCACACAAAACAGCTTTCACCTCAAGTGTTTGGACAATCTTCCTCACCAGCTCCATGAGATCCTTGGGCGGCGCGGGCATGGAACCAAGACCTAGGTAGATGACGCCAGTGCCCTCAGACTTGGCCAGAAACTCCTGGACCTCCAAATCCAAGGAATCCTCTGGCGTTTTTGGAACGAAGAGGAAGTTCCGGACTAACATGTGAGATTTCCAATCTGCCGGAACCCTTTGAGTCGGGATGAAGATTTCATGAAAAGCACCAATCATTAGCAGCTCCTTCTCCTCCACAACACTCAACATGCCCCTCCGGCAAAGCAAAGGCTCCAGCCCCAACTCTGCCCGGAAGGCATTGGTCTCGGAGGATTGCTTCTGCCACATGGCCCAGCAAAAGAAATTGAATGAGAACAAGTTCAACCAGCTGAACCAGTTAGACTCCATCACAAAAGGGTTCGGAAACTCCCGTGTTGGGAAATAGGGCCCAAACATCACTGGGACCCATGGCACGCCCAGCTTTTCAGCCAAAGAATAGGTTTCGTTGCAGGTGAGAGGGCCAGACACAATGAGTTGCACGTCGCGGGTCGTCTCCACCCAGTCTTTCAATGCTTGATCCCACGACATCTTTTTCCGACGCTCCATCTCCTGACAGTTGAAAACAAACCACAACGGCACCCAAAGCACTGGCACTATGTGGGTGTGCGTGCAAATAACATTTGTTTAGGGTGTCACTCACATTATTACAACATTATTGTACACACATACGCTTGCTCACACGTCCAAAGTCCAACAGTTCAAACACATGTTTTTATGTCTTCGACTCAGGGTTCGCCCTAAAGCACGTTCCCAGATTTCCATGTTTGGTTTCGATTTGGATATGTCTTTCATAACTAAAAAACTCCAAGGGCCTCAAACCTTTTTCATCCTATTTTGTTGTATTTGTGTACTCCTAGGTTTCCTCTGCATCTCGCGGAACTCTTCTAGGCCTCAGGGTTCATTTTCGACCCTTACGTGTTTTGGATGTCGCGCCGCCCGTTGTGGGCCGCTTTTCAGCTCCTGCGTTTTTCATGATGGACTCGGTCTGCAGCGACCCTCCCCACCCTCCGCATCTCCTGAATCATCTTCAGCAACCTCCCCTTGACCAACATCTCTGCGTGTTCCTCCTCGAACACGATGCCCGCCAAATCCCCCGCGATGGCACGGAAGCTGAGGCTGAAGGATTCTGCCAAGGCTCGGTTGCGCTCCTCTGAGATCACGACGACATCCCAACCTCCAGGGAGAAGCACCTCCTAGTCAGCATAAAACCATCAAAACAATTATTAATCACAAACAGGCAAAATGCATGCAACATGGATATAGTGTATTCCATATTTATCTGTCCTACAAAGAGAGCTACCAATTGGATCCAATTGGATGTTGACCCAGTTCTAGGCCAAAACCCCCCATGTTCTAGGAGAAAAAACACCGTTAAAAAAAGGTGTCAAGTTGCCTTTGGATGATCCGTGATCTCTGTGGTGGAGAACAAGCCACACCCAAAATGGAGACCCAGCCACACCCAAAACAACCACCATGGGGGTCCTTCCATGTCCACCCCAGTGTCGACACCGAGCATCGCATCGGATTCCCCGAGCATAGCCCGGCCATGGGCGACTGGAAAAGCCGCCCATGACTGGAGGGACACAAAAGCCGAACAGGATCCTGTTGGGTTAAACCACTTGCCAGCTTGGGGCCTAGTTGCCTAGCTTAGGGAAAAATTAAGGACGAAAACGGATGTGCTGTCTAAACAATATGTGTCTGGGAAAGACCTTTTTTGATGTAACCAGATTCGAGCCGATAGTCACTCACATCGAGTATGTCAAGTACTTAAAGCATCAACTTCTTTGCACTCAAAACACTTTCGGACAACCACTTTGGGAGAAGATCCTCCAAGTTGGGTTTTGATTCACAAACGAGCACCTTTGGCTTGAAATCCCAATGCCAAGGCCACCAGTGGCTGCAAGTCGCCACGAGAGCCGACATTGCAAAAGGCGCACTTCATCCGCAAGGAGATCTCGATTGCTTGTCGACACTGGTGGATGTACCGTAATCATTCTAGGCTGCCTCAACAGTACTGCCGTGGTGATTGTGGGCGCTCCGGTTTTACTTTTGATCAACAATTCTTAGAATTTCTTGGATGCTGCGTTCGAGGGTTTCGAGACAGTGTGGTCAAAGATGGACCTTTTAAACAAAAAATCACGAACATTTATGCAGCGTCAAAGGTCAGGTCTGGTCAGGTCTGAGCTTGACAGTGTGACTGCGCAAAATGTTGCGGGAGATGTTATCGCCGCTCTACCCTTCTCAAACGAGCTGCGGCCGAAGCTTTGGACCATCCAAAGGCCAATCCATCAAAATCATCTGCTCCTGTGGACAACAGGGTTATGCTAGATCATGGGCATCCCAGTATGGAACAATTCCGACTATGGAAATGGGGCCACGGATGAACATCTGATCAGTGAGCAAAAAAACGATGTTCCTCTGCAGGTCGAAAGTTCCCATCTCGAATCCACCGCAGCTGATGGGGCCGAGCAGCTGACGGAACGCCTGGATGGCCAACTGCACCTCTTCGATGCGCTGCCGGTCGCTGCGATCCTCCCGCGGCACCTGCACGTGCCATGCGAGACTGTGCCAATCCAAGCGGGCGATGGTCGGGCGTTGATTGCTTGAACCCCAAAGCAAGAAATACAACAAGAAATCAACAACATATGTATGTTGATATGATCCCCCTGTGAGTTTGCCAGGTGAGGTTGTGCTAAGCATTCTGTAGTTATAAATCGAAAAGTGGCTCCCAGAGGTCTACAGAATCACAAACTCGTAATCCAAAGCAAAAAACAGAGTCTCTACAAAATGCCCACGCACAAGGGCCACTCTCCACAAAATGAGAAGGTTCTGGAAGGAGATAGATACGAAAAGGGAACAAGTGGTTACAAACATGCAGAAACTGCGCGTGATGCATTCTGTAGAGGGTACCACTTTTGCAAGTCAGGTAGGGTGCAAATTGGCAAATAACAACCTGACAACCCATTTTGTGTTGTTTATTGAATTTCTATATTATCGCTTTCAGACCAGTCTGTTTGTTCACCATCTTTTACATAGACACAGCAAACGAGACATTAGAGGTCCGTCCTTCCCCCTGCATCCCTCATCATCCCCCCTGCCAGTTAGGTGGGTACAACTTTCTCTACAAGGTGCAAGTTTTTCTACAAAATGCAAACCGGCGAGGTTAAAACCACATCAAATGCCAATGACAATGTTTCTCTACAGAATCACAAACCTGCAAATCAGCATCTTCAAGATTCTCCGAAATGTCTCCTCTACAAAAATGCCAAACCTGGGAATGTAAGACAAGTTTCTCTATTAAACAAATGCCTTATATCAGTACCCAACCCGTGGCATTCTGTAGAGGATACAGGCAGGAGGATTTGATATGTATATTGTTCATCTTACAATGGGAGTACCATGGAATACCCCTCAACCAATGTTTTCTTTGGAGTCTCCCTCCTACAGTAGCGATTTCAGGGCGACCTTGTGCCCACAAAGAACTGTTCAGAAGTACAACGGAGGTCATGAAGATGGTAAAAGGGTGCAAAAAGGACAACGACCACTGAAGCATTGCACTATGTTTTGGTGGGGATATGTGACATGAGATTGGCATGAGATTGGCCATGTTCGATGCATTTTCCCTTGCTCTTCAACCAAATGTTCTTTCTTTCTCCGGTCCAAGGGTGCAAAGCTAGCCCAACGCGGCTAAGACTCCAACATGCTGGGTGCCATTGACACAAAATGGATCAAGATGGATCAACATGAGGAAGGAATGGTTTCAGCGCACAAGCTGTACAAGCGCATCTGAGCAGCAAAGTTTGCGTGGATTCGATTCAGGCATTGCTTACTGGCTAGGCGGCTATGGCCCGCCAGAGAAACACCTTTGTCTCTCATCTGCAAAGCAAAACAAACCTTCCTTTTCGAAGCGTCGCACTTGCGCAACATCTTCCCGAATCTGCTCACATGAACCAGCCAGCACCAAGTAGCCGGCCATGGTGAAAGCGTCGACGCTGGGTTTGACTGCAGATCCATATGAAATGGAAGTATGCAATTCCAAAAATGAAGCCAGCTTCTTCATTCTGTCAAAGCCAGGTGTGCTTGCCACTATGCCAAATGAGTACGACACCAGAGATACGATCAAACCTGAAGTCTTGAAGTCTCTGGGAACATCAGGGAGTGCGTCAAAAAGCTCCGGGTTCAAAGAGTCCAAAGTTGCATCTGGATGTGATGTCCCCGTGAGCAGCCGTGCCAACGACACATACGCTCCGTTGGCCCCCATCATGCGCAGGTTCACTTCTACAAGGCAAGGGCCATGAGGAGTCATCTTGACCTCAGAATGAGTTGCTCCATTGCGAATCTGCAACGCATCAAGCACTGCACGAACGTATGAGATCACCTCAGATGGACAATCCTTGGCCTGGAGGGGTCGCGTGGCCAAGTAGACGAAGTCCCCTCCATTTGCAGCTTGCCTCTCGGAGACCCAAGTCATTACGGTCTTGTGCACTCCATTCCGTGAGACATGATCAACAATATACTCCTGGCCAACCAGAAATTCCTGGAGCAAAATCCCAGCGCTGGAGGATTGTAGTTTCCTTTTGGTGTTGCACAGGTGGCTAAAGTGTTCCTCTACTTCTTGCAGTGACTGGCAAAGTTTCACTCCATCATTGCCACCAGACTGGACCGGTTTCACCACTATTGGAAGCCCCAAATTCCTCAAGCGATCCTCCACATCTTCCCATGTGTAGCCAAACACTTCACGAACCGTCCTCAATCCAAACTTCTCCAGCGCCTTCTGCTGCACGTGCTTGTTCTGACGGTCGCCGCCCTTGAAGGGCGCGTTCCCCGAGCCATGGGGTAGGAGGCCCAAGTGCAAAGAGACGAGGTTCGACAACATCACTCCGGTTTCAAAGCCAGGGATGCAAGCGCTGATCTTTGTTGCAGAGCTTGGAACGCGACGAAGAGTATCTCTGATGGCCTTGATGGTCGCTGGAATGGACGCTTGCTCTTCCACTGCTTCGTAGGTCCCTTGGATCACGGCACCTGGACCAGAACCTGGAGAGCACATTTTACTCCAAAGAACCAGCACTTTGAAACCACGAGAGGACGCGATGTCTGCCATCACAGCTCCGGTGGACACAGGGTCCACCAGGACAATGACTTCCATGGCACCGGTTTAGTTTTGATTTGCCTGTTGGTGACTAGGCCTGGGTGAGCCCAAACTTTCTCCAAGCGCGTTTCATTAACTAGAGGTCCGACTGAGACCCAAGAGGTCCGTGATGAAGGCGATACGTCGTTGCAGCCGGATATGTTCAAAAGAACTGCACTTCACCGGCATCCGCACGGGCGTCGCCCCGCCTCCACGCCCTGCATGGTCTCCACGTAGGGGTCGGATTCCGCTTCACCCGCCTCAAGCGTTCGAGACATTCTGTCGACACGCACGAGATGGTTGGTCCGTTTGAACCTCAGCGCCATAGCCCAGGTGCCCAGGTCCCCGGTTCTTTGTTAATTGTCTCACAACAAAATCAACAAACAACTACAATTACTTGACACACCCAAACAAATTCACGTCAGCTATTGTTGTTGACTACTGTGACACGGCCTTTGATTTTCTTCTTTTTTTCGAACCTGCATGTTCACCCATGTGTTTCCCTCGATAGGATATAACAAAAAAAAATAATGTCATATCCTTTTCGTACTGATTCATGATTCATATATTATACCAACATAGTACCAATATACCATATTATATGCCTCGAACCAGGTTTTCTAGCATCCTCTAGCCCATATTTTGTCAGTATGTGTGTCCATAATTACTACATATTATTGTGCAACTTAGACACCTACCAGGAAAATATAACTTTTGTGGGTGTTCATGCTTTGAAAGGTTCACTCAGAATCTCTATCAAAGTTGTGTTGAAACTGAATTCTCACGAGATTGCAGGCATATGTTTTGCATTCTTTCAACCCAATCCATGTTTGGACCCCACCGGGTACCTTTGTCGGGCCGCCCGCGTTTTCGGGGTTTCGTGCAAGACCTGGATGTGCCCCATTGGGCGGAGCAACATGAGAGGTGATTCATAGGAACCTACTAGCAATGGCATCCAACCTACTAGCAATGGCCTCCAACCTAGTGGCGATGCCTCCAACCTAATAGTATAAGGAACCTACTAGCTAGCAATGACCCAGGATGTTTATATGTTATGTGATTACTGTTATGCATATTTCATCTCACTGGTTGCCGGTGTTTATATGTCCACTATGTCGTCCATGTTTCCTCTATATGGAGATGTCTGACCCTCCAGTTGTCGGGGGTACGATGTTGACAGCGAGGACATCTTCTCTCCTCATTTCCTGCTCACCTTGCCCTCGCTCCGCCCACCCTCCCGGCCACTTGACAGAACTCTTCAAAGCCTCAGCAGCGCTTCGGCACCCACAGTGTTCAAATCGCAGAGCAAAGGCACCCCCCAGTCTGTTACAGAGTCCTTTTTGACGCCCCTAAGGCCCTACGCGTGTCAATTTGTTTTCAGTATAGTCTTGACTATATCTGCTACCTGATCTACTCCAGTATGATTGGACATGCTTGATGTGTTTTTCTACGGGCTGTTGGCAGAAAGGGTTTCATAGGTGCTGGACCCAGTTACTTTCATAGGGGCCTTCCATGTCCTCCCCACCATTCACGGTGGAAATGCCCGTTTCGTCGGCTCTTGAGCAGAGCTGGACCATCGTGCTGGACCACATATATGCCGTCAGCTACAGACACACACCGTCAGCTACCAGATTCCACAACACTTGAGCTTGGGACCTCAGATGTTTAAATGACCATTGACCTCCGATCTCATTTGTCGCTCGGTACCCCGAGAATGGATAGCGAAGACGTTTCGGACTCCCGAGAAATCTCTATCTTCTGCCCATTGGTGAAACAATGTACAACTAAGAAAGCCATTGGCAAAACCATGTAACTGAATATTACATGTAGATACATGCAGA